TTTAGCCTTTACAAGCTTTAATTTAGTCATTTCTATAATCAATGTGAAATTTCAATACACTCCTTCACACTTAAGTTTTTGTTTTTTTTTTTTTTAATATAGCACTGGATAAGAAGCATGACTAAGTAAGCAATACTCCATGAGGCCAAATAAGTTGCACTGAAAATTCACAGGACTAGGTTAATTACACTAGTAAAATTTGTAGAGTCAACCAAAAAAATTTTTCAATTAAGGTTGGTCTAAATCGAATTTACAATATATTTTGATACCATGTTATGTGAAAGAAAAATGAAAAAAAAAATTGTGTATCTGAATTATATATTGAACTGAATATTTATATTAATAATAATATTAGAAGTAATTATAACATAATCACATAATATATAGTTACTTAATTATTATAATTACAAATATACTAATATCCTAAATTCACATTTAACATTTGTCTTACTTATATGACCTTGCTAATATGTAGTTTTTGTGACAGTAAATTTCTAAAGTTTATTTTGTGATTGATTCTACGTCCAACCAACTTTATCTTGAGTTTTAGTGGACAGAAAGACATCAAATTCATTTTTTAATTTTAATATTGTCAACAGGATAACCATGTTTTAGTCAGATTTCACCAAGATGATCTAGGATTAACTTGTTGAGCTTTAAACATGATTAAATCTTGAATAGTCCTTGAGTTAGCTTATTTGCAACAGTCTTGTTATTCATTTCTTACCTTCGTCTTAAGAAAAGTTCCTTTTAATCCATAAATTTTTTAATTGCACAACTTTCTAAACGTTTACTATATGTTTAGCAGAGATTAGTCTATAACTAAGCATGTTTAGAATGCTTGCAATTTTTTAATCTTATAAAGTAATTTATTATCATTAAAACACATTACGTTCAAAGAAATTTGCCTAACAATCTCCTCACAAAATCCTTTTTGTTCTATCTAGTAGATAGATCCTTGACAACTTTTGTAGGTGAAAGTTTTTATTCTAAGCTTGACAACTAGGTCAAATTTTTGCTAAATATATATGCCTCTTTTCTAGACAAGGGCTTGTCTAAAAACAAATATCGTTTGTAATGCGCTTTAAAGTGCTTGTATATTCATCAAAAGTAACTTTGTTATTAATTAAATTTTAACTTAAATAAATAAATAATTTATTAATATTAAAATATAAGTTTAGTATTTATTAAATTTTAATATATAGAAAAATAAGATGTATTAAAATAATATTTTTATTATATTGTTAAAAAAATTTGACTCAATGAATCAATACTTCCCACACCTGCCTACCTTGTATTTTAAGCAGGAGAATGATCAGTAACTGGTTTAAGAAGATGATTAGTCATACTGAGACTAAAATATAGTTAAATAAATTAATTCATTGAGTTAAATCTAGTCTAATGAGTTAAAAGAGTCGAATTAAATCAATTTTGTCAATTGTATTCTTAGTTCACAAATGATCAGTATATTATATAAATATTAATATATGTGTATTTGGAAAGTCTTTTTTTATCTTATTTAAAGTAGTGTTTACTTTGAAAATAGATATTATTTAATATTAAATTTTAATTTAAATACATTAAATTTTAACACTGTCAGTTAACTAAAAATTATCATAAAGCAAGAATTATTAATTTTTGTAATAATTAACATAAATATAATATTTATGATAAATTCTAATTACTTAACAGTGTACGAAAATTAAAATATTAATGTTATTTATAATGTTCCATTTTATACAAGTAGAAATGAACTCAATTTTATTAAAGTCGGATTTTACATTTGAATCTTATTAAAACAAATCAACATGGAAAGATTTTTGTCAATTAAGACATGTCAACTAATTAAAATATTTGTTTATAATTACGTACCAGTTAAAACTCGTATATTTTCGTCAAAAGCACGTATGATATAGCAAAATTTCTAGCTATAGAGTTAAGAAAATTAATAATAATAATAATAATAATAATAATAATAATAATAATAATAATAATAATATATTGTTTTAAATTTTATTGAAGAAAAATTATTGTAAGGAGCCAACAACAAAGCTAGTCAATAACTTGGTGAAATAGAAAAGTGCTATTTCGAGCATGAAAATGACTAAAACCCGTTGCCTAATTGATGTCGATAAGACTAGCAGACATATAGACAACAGTGTGATGAGCCGAAATCTTATAATATTATCGCATATGAAACGCGTGAATGTTATGTATGATTTATCTTAGTTACACTTTCATTTCGACTTATATTATCCTTTCTTTGCTATTCCTGTCATGCTGAACGTGAGAATATATATATATATATCAAGATACATTCAAAACTACGTATTATAACTGAAAATATTCTTACCATGTAGAAAAATTTTATATAAAAACAAAATAAATATATAATCTATTTCATTAATTTATTTTAATGTGTAATACTTTTTAAAATATAAATAAATATTAAATTTTAGATCAAACTTTAAAAAAAAAAAAAAAAACTGACTACATCCTTGATAAGGATATGGAGAGAAGATGTCTGGAGTTAAAATTTTGTCATATTTGAAAAAATAATTAAGAGATTTATAATCAATAGGCCTTATTTAAGCAATTCTAAGCACTCTTGTCTTGCCAAGATGAGGTTTGATGGGTTCATTTCAGGATGTGTGGCTTTTGTAGTATTAATATCATCATTAAGCTTGAATGGTAATTAGATGAAAAAAATGTATAATTTTTTTCACAAGAGATTAGAATGGTTGTCTAACCAGGAGTATAGCTTAAGAATTTCATAATAAGGTTTGAAATCTCTTTTGTATTTGATTCTTTTAGATAGAATCAGAAGCTTTTCAGCAACATTATATGTATCAATCTTGATGAGAATATCTTTGTTGAATATATCACTTTCAATTAAGTGAAAAATTTTAAAAATAATTTAATTTCAATAGGACCTTTCATAACAAGATCACAACAAGGAAAAATATATATCATTTTTTCAAATATCTTTAGAAAAGATATTTTGATTTATGGTGGTTCTTTGCGCTCTTATATCTACATAAATTATATTTGGAAAAGTAATTTTGATGGTAAAATTTGCACTTGTACACAAGGTTGTGGAGATTTTATAAAGATATCTTCAATTTTTGAATAGGGTAAAGAGGAACAAATTCTTCTCCTTTTATGAAATTTGAAGAATCAATAGAAGAATTTTGAAAAACAATCTTGATTAGCTAATAAAATTTCCACATCTTCATCTATAGGTTCTAAAGATTAGATTAGATTTTGGGCCTGTGTCTTTATTTGCACAATTTTTGGAAAAATATCCTTTCTCACATATTGAATACATCTTTTTAATTAAATAAGCCAAAACAAATTAACTAAATAAAAATCAGACTTAATTACAAGATATAAAGCCAAACAAAGATGTTATACTTTGCACATATAAAATTTATTTAAATTACTAAATGAAGATATTATTAAATACAGTAATTTTTATGGATTTTAAAATAATAAAATATTAAAAATATAGGAAAACTCAAACAACGAATATCACTGTCTGAATAACATGCGTAAATCCTCAGTCATAATAGCAGCTCAATGTCTAAAAAATAAAATGATTTGAATATAGATACTTAGATAGAAAGGTTTTATGCACCGGCCATTGCAACTGTCTCATTCGTAGTTTGCATCTTTAATTCATTTGGTCTTTTGCTTTGTCGTCTCTCGACATTGGAACTTAGATTTGAATCCTCATTTCAAGATTTGAGATTTGACGCTTACCACTTTTCTTCTTTTAATTTCATTCAACCACTAATTCTTCTTTTAGTTCCTCAGATTGAACTCAACCAGTTTTTTTTATTGAGTTAATAGAAAAATCAAATGAATGAAAACTAAAATAAATCATATTTATGACAAAATTTAAAATACACATTCAAGAAAACTCATCGGACCCGTCATCTTTCAGTTTCAATTATTGCTAACTTCAAATAAATGTGTTTGGTGTGATACCTGTAAAATGTCTTCAAAATTAGGTGTTAACTGTTTTTTCAATTAAACTACTAACTTCACTACTTATTATCATAAAACTAACGTAACGATTAATAAATCCTTTCAATTAATATCATAAATCTACTTTAAAAATTAAAAGCACAAAATCCCTTCACGAATTTGGGATAAATTTAAGTCAAAGTAGGAGAGACAAAAATAGTTTAGTCGTAAAGGAGAGAAAAAAAATTATTATGCTCGTTGAACATTTGATACATTACATAGAACTGAAAAAGAGATTGTTAATAAACTTTAAAAATAATTTAAATTTGAAAACAAAATGAAAAACAAATATAATTGGCAATCAATATTAGATTTGTTATTTGTAATGTCAAACCGAATAATCGAATAATTCAGCTAAAATGAATATAAGGAAAAAACTATAGTGCCTTTAAAAAATTATGAGTAAATTTATACAAACACGTGTAAATTTATATTTTATGTTATTATATAACATGCATTTTTCCTGTTATTTTTAAAATATTTTTAATAGATTAGAATTTATATAATAATTCCAAAAGATCAATTTTATAAAATTAATGAAATAAAACTCAAGTCCCTTTTAGAAAATATTATGAAGTTGTTTTTTGAAGTTTATCATGCTAAAAGTTAAAATAACAATGGTCAATGTTTCTTTGTTATAAAATGAATCAAAGCAATCAATAAGTTTTGAAAATCCTCCTACATATAATATAGTTTTCATCAACAATGCACAAGATGAGTTACATATGAGAACTCTTGATTAGTTTTCTATTTCATACAAAGCAAAATAATTTAACGTCATTCAATATAGAAACACACATTCGCAACATGAGCAAGATGAGTTACATATGAATTTGCTAAATGTGGTCATGTTAAACAAGATATAATTTTTTGGTGAATAAGCAAAGTTCTTATTTGATATTGAGAAAAAAACCAACACATTATGTACTTGCTTAGAAATTAATAACAATTTTTTTTTTCTTGGTGAGCTTCCTCAAATCCTTGGCGGAAGTAACATTTCTCAACAAAGAATGGGTTGATTCATCTATAATTCTCTTTATTAAATATTAAAATAAACAAAAGAATGATTTTCATTCAGAACTTTTAATTATGAATTATCGTTAATTTAAAAAACCTAGAATTAGTTCATATGAAATTATTTTCTTAATTACAACAATTAAAAAATATTATTTTAACAACTCTTTTAAAAATATATTATTAATAATGTGTGGAAATAGTTAAACACATATATTTAATTTATATTAAGTCATGTTTAAACTTTCAAAAAAAATTTAGCAATCACCTAATATAATTACCTGAGGTTTTATTATTTATGATCAAATTTATATATTATTATAGAAGCTCATACTTTGGGAAGGGGAAAATGTGGAGGTGTTAGGTGACATTTGACCTGCATCCACAACTATTATTTCCTTGTAGTCATATATTACAGGCTTTCATCGGAAAAATGATGGATTTTGTGAAAACTTCAATACATCTTTTAAATAAAACTAATAAAACTAATCAGTTTTATTAAATGACAGAAAAGAAAGTCACTAAAGAGTAAGTGAAAAAGCAAGGAAAATGAAGGAAGAAGGGGAAGGAACTAGCATTGTCTGCGGTGGACCCTGACTTTGAAGCCACCCGCCATATGAGCCGTTAAACGGGGAACAAAAACGGGATGGTCGAGAGAAACGGGGTTGATGACAAAGCGGTTGAGAATAGAAGCGACCACATACTCCATCTGAATGAAAGCCATCTCCTTCCCAAGGCACACCCTCGGACCGGCCTGAAAAACCGGAAACTTGTAAGGACTCACCAACTTGGAAGAACCATTCTCATCCAACCAACGCTTCGGTTTGAACTCACCAAACTCGCTCCCCCAAAGCGCTTCCATTCTCCCCATCCCATACGGAAAGTATGTCACTCTGTCTCCTCTCTCCACCTTCGTCCCATCGGGTAACACGTCACCTCTGATCGCATGCTTCGAGTCCCATGCCACCGGCGGGTACAGCCTCATTGACTCACACACGCACGCCTTCAAAAACTTCATCTCCTTCAGCCTCTCGTAATCCAAAAACCACCCCTCCTCCTCTCCGCAAACTTCTCTCACCCCCTTCACTATCGCCTCCTCGTGCTTCCTGTGCCTCGTCAGCAACCAAAAGAGCCACGTCATCGCCGCCGATGTGGTGTCTCTCCCCGCCATTATCATGCTTATCAGCATATCCCTCACCATCACCTCCTCGTGCCCCGCCTTCAACAACCGCGTCAACAAATCCACCTCCGTTTGTTGTTGTTCTTGTTTAGCCGTTTCTTTTATCTTTCTTCTTATCATATCAAGCACTGACTCGTGAACAAGTTTCACGGCTTCTCTAAGTGCCCTCTCCGACCCGATGTTTAACAGCCTTTTGATCTTCCACGTAAGAAAAACTGGTGCCATCCCTCTCATAGCGCTTATCTCTGAAGCTTCATCGAAGGCTACCAAAAGAGGGGGCAAGGGCTTCGACAGGTCCAGGCAACACGGGTCGTTCCCCAGCGTTACTTTGCACACCGTGTCGAACGTGAGTCTCCTTAATATGTCTTGAAGGTCGATCACGTGACCCTCGGCAGAAGCATGCTCCAGCAGTGGATAGAGTTTTTCTCGGACCTCTTCTTGGAGGATCTTCACTGTGAAGTCTCGGAGGGACCGAGTGCTGAACTCGTGGCTCGCGAGTTTGCGCTGCGTCGACCATAGCTCGCCGTCCGCCACGAATATGCCGCATCCCAGAAGATCTCCGAGGATGTCGGTGAAGGGTTTTCCTTTGGGGAAGTTGTGAAAGTTGGTCTTGAGGATGTACTCCACGTTGCAAGGGTTCGCCGTGACGATTGTGCGGCGAGCGCCGAGGCGGTGCACCACGATGGTCTGCGTTGGGGATTGGGAGAGGTGTTCAGTGTACCAATCTAAGAGACGGTGGCTGTTTTTGTAGAAAGCTACGAGGCAACCAATGATGGGGTGTGAAGGGAGGGAATAATGGTGATGAGAGTGAGTGTTGAAGAAAGGGGAGAGTAGGATAAACCCTAAGGATATGATAACAGCTATGAAGATGAACATGACTCGTGTCTCGAAAATTGCACTAATTATTAAGGTTTGGTAGTTTAGTTACACCCAGAATTTAGAAGGATACATATATATAGTGTGTCGCCGAACAGCCGAAAACAAAAGAAAAAAAGGCGCCGCAGAAATTAAGTGTTTGTCAGAAAGAGACAATAAAGGCTTGAACGCACGTGATTCATGAGCTCAAATTCAGTAGAATAATGAGATATGTAATATACTATAGTACAACTTTTCTCGTGCAAATTTATATATAATCACAAAATTATAAAAATATTTTTTTATTAAAAATATATTATTTGATAATATCAATGTATTAAATTCTGTAATTTTAATAAAAATATATGAAAAAAAATCACATGCTTTATATTATAAATGCAGATTTTGTTGATTTTGATTGTTTTAATTGTATAATATCTAAAATTTAGTATTAATATAATTTAATTAAATAAGTTAGGCAATATTAAACGAGTGAAACTGAAAAAAAAATGCAAAAATATCAGATCCAAATAAAAAATAGTAACAATTAATGTTAATATTAAATTAAAATGTTTACATATTTTAGATGATTAAAATTTACAATATTGACGATATATATTATTAACTTTATTACAATATCTGTGGATTCGAACAAGGGAAATATGATTTTACACATCTTAAATTTTCATCTGATAGCTAATTCAAAGTTGAATTGATGTATTATTATCAAATTTCTAAAACTACCACACTTTACTTTAAATACATTCACATAAGCTAATTAAATATATGTACACTTAAAATTTTATTAAGTTGTTATAATTTAAAAAGGAACCTTATATTCAAGATATTATGAACACTAATTTCTCAGTTCTCATGTTGAGGACAATCCATCCCTACGTACGTTGTTTTAAATGTCTAAATTTCATTTAAATAATATTCAATTCCCCGTTTGTTTGACTATTTAATTATTTTATTTAGATAAAAAATATTGAAGATATTTTAATCAGATTCAAAATAATTAATTGATTTCCTTATTTATTGTATTCAAAAAAAATAAATTTAGCATTATAATACATAAAAATCAAGAAAGGATACAATATTTTTTTAAACTTGCTTTTAAAATGACAAGTTATTTATTTAAAAACAATAAGAATAACATTTCATTTTCTCATTTAATGATCTATATATGTTATTTCATTCATGAATATAAAAGATATTTATTAATATTTACTTTTTACTTAGAGATATCACATCACTTATCTAATTTTACACTTTTATCTCATTTTTTATATATATATAAAAAAAACTAACGTTAAAATAGCAATGCTCTTAATAAAATGTCTTCAATTTCAAAACCCAAGTTAAATAATTTATAACGTAAATGCATATTTTGTTTTTTAGTTTTGTGTAAGATTTATATAATTCATTAATATTGGTACAGTTACATATATTAGGTAATATTAATAACGAAGTAAGGCTGAAAAACAAATTTAAAAATCAAACCCAAATAAAAAATAGCATCTATTAAAGTTGATATTAAAATAAGATGTCCTCATATTTTAAATCTAATTTGTCCCGTTAGATTATATAAAATCATCAAAAAAATTTATTAATATTTAAGATGTGTATATATTTGACAATAAATTAGTTGATTTTTAATAAATTATTAGGCCCTCAGTAATGATTTCCCGATTCGTGATTAGGCCAAATTAAATATATTCAAATTAAAAAAAACACCTTAATCAGTTGTCAATCCTTTGGTAGATATAAGATATAAAGAATGAGGTAGAAACAGATGCTCCATCACTATCAAATTTTCATTAAAATAATTGTGGATTTATTTTATTTAATAAAAATAAATAAATAAATTTAAATTTTGATAATTTTAACGACATAGAGTCAGGTAAGCGAAAGGTTACACCCCCTCTGAAGAGTCAGATCTTTTCTAGATCTATGACTCAGATCAGGCATCTTTTCATTTTAGACACACACTACAAGGAAATCCTAAAAACTGAAATCCTAAAGGCCAGAAATCCTGATATGATCGAAATCTTTATTTAATTATTTATTATTTTATTTTTCACTTTATAATTTTCTTCATGATTACACTCCTCGGTCTATTTACCTTTTTCGTTAAACTGAATACCCTCTCAGTTTACTGGCCTTCCCTTAAACCAAATACTTTCTTTATATATTAGTCGCTTCAGAAACTTAGTACCTCCTCAGTATACCTACTTTCTCTTAAAACTGAGTACTTCCTCATCTACATACTCTGGGTGTTTATATCATTATTATTAAGTTTTCACTTCGTACCTCTTCGGGCTTGGGGGGCTAGTGTACTGTATAGGGCCTTACTCTGTCCTACTCGTAGAAAAAAATAACCGAATACCCCTTCAGCCTAATATAACCGAACACCCCTTGTCAGATTAGGAGGTAATTAACTCAATTAAGGGTAATAATCAGAATATTATTTACTTTAATTAAAGGGCCAAAACTAAGGATGACTCAGCAAGCCCATTAGCCCATAACAATGTTTATAAAATAAATGTAGGAAATACAAGTAAAGGGTTGACTTTTCAATATTAAATAGCATTTATTTCTTAGAACCGAATCCTGATTTCAGCATCAGAGTGCCTTTTGCAGGTACCCTCCTCACGTCAGGCCACGTCAGTAATAGTCAGAAGAACGTTACCGTTTCAGAACAGAGATCCAAAGACTAGTGTTTTTCTAGCAAGAACATATTCGAATTAAAAAAAAAAAAGACACCTTAATCAGTTGTCAATCCTTTGGTAGATATAAGATATAGAGAATTAGGTAGAAATAGATGCTCCATCATTATCAAATTTTCATTAAAATAATTATGGATTTATTTTATTTAATAAAAATATTGAAAATAAGTTAGTGGCATTTAAAATACTGAGGATTTGATTAAATACTTAAACAAATTTTGCATAATTTTTTATAATTGTTTAAATAATTTTATTGTTGTTTAAATAAAAATAAAGTTAAACGTTTAGTTTACACCATAATGAGAGAAAATTTAAATTTTTAATTTTAAATGTTTTAATTTTATTTGAATAATAGTTAATTCTCTGTTTGTTTGACTAATTATTTTGTCTAAATAAAAAATATTGAAGATCTTTTAATAAGATTCAAAATAATTGATTGATTTCTTTTTTTATTGTATTCATACTAAAAAATTTAGCATTATAATAGATAACAAATGATACAGTATATTTTTAAAAAAAACTTTCTTTTTCAGGCTAATTAATTTTCATAAGTGATAAGGAAATTTCTCAACCATATATCAAGAATTTAAAAATAAAAATTTCATTTAATATTTTAAAATTTTCAATATATTTAATATTTTAAGAACTTCCAGAAACTTTATGTGTTTTTATTCTAGAAAAATGTAAATAAATATTAGAAAAATAAAAAAAGAAAGAAACACGTGGAGTATTGATCTATTTACCGACCACTTTTCCAATATGCTATTTCGTTTTCTCTTATATCTGATGGATATGTATGGTATATGCTATTTCTAGTCTCTCTCGTGCTTTGACTCTTACATAATTAAAACTAGCAACTTTTTTTTTTAAAAATAAAAATTATTGGGTATAATTTGTTATATTAGTGAAAGTTTAAAAATTTTTATTTAACTTATATTTAATAAGTTATAATTTATTATTTTATTAATTATTAGATATAAATTAAATATAATTTTTTTTAATTTACTAATGTAAAAATATTCTTTTTTAAATTATTATATATTTTATAATTTTGATAATTTTTTATTTATATTTATTTTATTATTTTTTATAAATTTTGTTAATTTTAACTCTTAAAGTTAAATTTAAGTATTCAAATATAAAAATATAATAAATATTTATTTTTTAATAAAATTTTATTATTAATAATTATTTATTTTTAATTTTAAAAGTTAAATTAAAAAAAAACCTTTTTTTTAATTTGCTTGTAAAATATGTTATAAAAAATCGACCAACTTTTTCCAAAAGAAAATTGAAGAACGTTAACGGCACAGTCTGAAGACTGCAACCATGGCAGCTGTTGACTGATCGTAGGCAGAGGGACTTCATGTCAACATCGAGCTTGTGATGCGTAGTCAAGTATATAAAGAAGTCCGGTTGAATTTTTTTTTTCTATTTTTAATTTTTTTATTAACCGATATAGAATATAACTTTTTATATAAATTATATCATAGTCTATATAAAAATACTCACAATTTAGATCAATTATAGAATAATTAATATAAAAAATATATACTTTTATTAGTTGTAAAATTAATAAATATATATAATTTTTTATATCAGTTATAATAAAACATTAATGTAAAATATCATCATTTATCATATTACTTGTATCTAAATGAAAATTTATTTTGAATCAATGTAATTTTTATTTATATTAGTGTATTTTGATTTCTATTTTTATATCTTATTTAAGTTAAATGTTTATAAAATAATATTTAGCCCGTGTACTTATTGAATTGTATTAAAAATTTTATAAAATTAAATTTATATAAGTATTTAATAATTTTTATTATAATATTTTTAATAAATAATTTAATTTTTAATCTTTTTATTAGTTTAATATTTTTTAAAAACAAAAACAAACTAAAAAAAAAACTTGTGCACTGAATATTTCTCATGGAGTTTTTCTTTAGCATGGACCGACCTACAAAATAAACTTTCTTGCCTCTTATTCCTTTCGAAGTCAAAAGTCAAAACTCAAACTTCACCTCCACTTCCTTCTTTCCTCCATTCAACATTCATGGTACATAATAAAATTAATAAATAATAATTTTTAATTAAAATTTGTAATATTTAATAATATTAATATGATAAATAAATTTAATAATTTTTTATAATGCTTTTTTTATACATAGTATCACATTAATTTTAAAAAATAATATTATAGTTTAATTAAAAACAAATAAAACCTACATGGCATTATACTATCCTAACAACAACTCTTATTAAACACAATGAAAACATAAAAATTAGAAGATTCGATAGATTGATAGTTGATCGGAACTTGACAATGCAAAAGGGATACATTTGGGGAAGGCACATATTAGTCAACAGTCATTTTGTATCCACCACACACTTGTGTTGCGTAGTAAGAATAATTATATTTTTTATTGTTTTATTAAATTTAGTAAAAAATTATTAAAAATATTTATTATGTTAAAATTATAAAAAAAATATAATATCT